TCAGTTTATCTCAAAGGCTGCTGGGTGAAGAGAGTGGGGGAAGAGGAGAGCAAGATCATTAAATTAACCAGGGCTCTCCATCTATCAAGACAGGACTCAGTGGAGCCCAGAGCTCTAAATAATCCTAAAAATTTCAGAGACTTGTTCTGTTAAGAAGGACACATTTCTCATGGCCAGCTTTCTAAGTCAGAAGCTAATAATATCCTCAACCTACTTGCCTGTTGCAAATATGTGTAACACAAAGTACAGATGACTTCTGTTGAATTGAACCCATAATGAAGGAATTTATAATCAGTTCTAATGTATTTGAGACTTAAAGTATATTAGTTCTTCATCAAAGGGAATGATAAAAAGCAGCAATAATATGGGTGGATAATAATTATTTCATAGCTCAATTATTTTCCAGTTAACTACAGAGAAATGCTGATATTTTTTATTCTTTTTTTTTAAAACAAAAGGTATGTGGTCAGATTCTGTAATATAAGAATGTCCTTTATAAAGGCCAATATTTTGAATCATGCTTATGTTAATGGCAAAATAACTATTTTGGATTTAAATGAGTTCAATGTTCATAGCTGGGAGTTCCCTTACTTCCCTTTGTCCTGTTGTTTCACCACTGATTCTATTTATTGCCTATAAGAGGTATAAAATATAGTAATTACTCTCACTCCCTTTCAAAATGACATGAGGTCTACTTTCCCATTAACTCTAATGAGAGTTATGTGTGCATTCCTCAAGGAGCACAGACCCTGTGGAGTTTCAAGGTAGAATAAATCACTTCTATACCCAGGTTTTAGAGGAATCACTTGCTTTATAAGTTGGTGCTTAAGTTACCCATTTAAACTGCTGGTATTGAACATGCACTATCTGTAGTTTAAAAGAGACATAAGCTGGTGTTGCAATGCTTTTAATGATAGTTATTTCTGTTGAAGGATAAATGTTTTACCCTTCAGGAAAATCACAATGAGCAGCTTATAGGAATGAGTGGTCTCTAAAACATGGTTGCCTATTATTCTTAAGAAAATTAGTGACTAGTACCTCTTATAATATTTTCTTTCTATTTAAAAAACTTTAATATAAGTAATCACTACAATTGTAACAGCTTATAATAAAGGAAAAATGAGCCAGAGTTGCTGATATCCTAGAGAAAAGGGGGCTCAAGGAAATAGGTTGTTTTCTTTTATTTTTAAGCTTAAAAAAAACTTATTTTATAACAGCTGTAGATTCACAGCAAGTTTTAGAAATAATGGAAAGGTGCCATAGATCCTTCATCCAGTTTCCCCCAATCACAAAGATTTTTTTTATTTTTAAATCATGTTAATTCTATTACAGTCGTCTCAATTTCCCCCTTTGCCCTCCTCCATCCATCCCAGCCCACCCCCCCCCCGCTCCCACAGTCCACTCCCACTCTGTTGTCCATGGCCCTGGGTCATTCATACATGTTCTTTGTCTAGTCCTTTCAACTTCATTCCACCATTGTCCTCCTTCCCCATCCCCTCTGGTCACTTTCAGTCTGCTCTGTGTTTCCATGCCTGTGGTTTATTTTGTCCATTAGTTTATTTTGTTGAATAGATTCCACTTATAGGTGAGATCATATACTATTTGTCTTTCACCGACTGGCCTATTTCACTTACCATAATATTCTCCAGTTCTATCCATTTTGTTGCAAAAGATAGGAGTTCTTCTGCCCTGGCTAGTGTGTCAGTAAGTTGAGTGCTGTCCTGCGAACCAAAGGATTGATGGTTTGAGTCCCAGTCAGGGCATATGCTTGGGGTGATGGCCAGGTCCCCAGGAGGGGGTGCTCAAGAGGCAACCACACATTGTTGTTCACCCTGGCTAGTGTGGCTCAGTGGATTGAGTGCCGGCCTGCAAATCAAAGGCTGTTTTCTTTTCAGCCTGAGAATAAGGAACTTTGAGATCATGTTAGGATCTGTTTCTGTAATCCACTGGCATATGTTCACTCTGTTGAGGCTTCCTCAGAGAAGCCAATGTTGAGTTTCTCAGTTTGTAACCATGGACCCTCTACAATACTGATTCTCAGTGCCTTTAGGCATAGGAGATAAAGGAAATTTGGGGGTTTTTTTTAATAGTTTTTCTAAAAACTGTAGTCAGCTCTGTTTTTCCCAGGGAATCTTCAAAAATCAAGGGTGTAAAAAATTATTGATAGTTAGGAAACCCAGTTGCTCTGCATTCACAAATATTGCTGGAACTCATACTATGAGAACCATTTAATATCATCTAATAATAAGGTTTTATTTAATACTCAGTAAGTGAATTTTTTTAGTTGGGAGAACTCGACTTAATTCTTCTCTAGGATAGTGATGTCCCATATATCTATGATGCTGAAGCAATATCTATATATGTTTCTAACTCACCAGATTTACTACAGTAAAAAATGTCCCTGAAGCTTACCTATGTAACCATTATCCCACAATAGTTAAAAGGCATGCAGCCTCCCAAGTAGGGAAGGTGATGATAAATACATATCAAAAAACTGGGTCAACTATTCCATCCTTGGAAAAATTCTCTTTTTATATACAGTATCATTCCCATGGCTTCCTTACTTATGCAGGCTGAAAGTCAAATAACAATTGAAAACTATGTCCAACATTCAGATAAGTGGGAGATAATATTTTTAAAAAATTCTCTTACTATCACATTTTATGTAGACCAAGCACTAGCAATTCTGTATGTGTGCAAAAAGGATGGCATTGGCTCACTGTTGTAGAACCTAAAGGATTTCCCAAGGAAGTCATGTAAATTTCTCTGGGGACTCTAGAAAGGGATAGAAAGACGCCTCCCTCTGAATTGTCCAGGAGAGATATTTTATAAATGGCTACACAAAATGAAGAGAGTGACTTAATTTAATTGTGATAGGTTTTACATATGATTCAGTAAAAAAATTTTGAACTCATATTAGTGGTTTCTTAACATAGCCAAGAATTAAGCATATTAAGTAATTTAACTGAAATTTGAGGTAGATAGTGGCTTTGACAGCAGTAATTCCTACTGTACTTAATCTGTGGTAACCAATAAATAAAACCATAACTTCTAGGTACAATCTTTGAAAATAGAAACACAAGAAGTCTGTTCATTTACTGCTTTACATATTTACAGAAAAATTAAAAACTTGAAAATATAATTTCCTGTCTGATATTTTGCATGTTTTGAAACCTGAAATATTTCAAATATAGTTCTGACATTAACAATTTTTAAATTCAAATTCAAATTATTTCTATTTTTCAGAAATGTAGCAACATTGTTCAGTGAATATCAAATAATACCGAGGGTTCTTTTTGCATTTAAACAGGATCATAGTAAAGAAAGATATTTCTGTGAACTTGCAACTCAGTGTCAATTAACATAAACTGTTGTTTTCATCTAGGTTTTCTCTTAATGGAACGATTGCTGGCAGGAGTGACTTTAAAAGTATATCACTTAAATTGTTGTGTACAGCTCCTCTGTCTGCATTTGGAATGACCTTGAAATCATGACTTTACAACTGAGTAGTTAACAGGTCATTTCAATTATGTTATCAACTACTCCATATCCGAATTGTTAATATTTTTACAGGCTATCTCTCTGAGCTAATGAAACATAACTATTATATCTCATTTTTTCCTTCTGTTTTCTGTGGTGGTGTTTTTTATTCCTTGAGGGTTGTGATATTAGTTGTAGTTTTGAATATAAATATAATCAGAGTGATCACTGAATAGCTTTAGATATCTTTCTCATGTTTAGCAGTCCGTCACTATGAAGTGTGCTCAGAATTAATGCCTGCTTATTTATTATTTATATTACTGAAACCGACATATGCCTTTCCGTCTTTTTTCCTTCCTTTTTCTATGACTTATTTTATGCATGGCAAAATTATCTTGCTTACTGCTATGTGGTTGGCTGTCTTTGAACTTGACTGTCTTGTGTTTGTAATGATTGCTTTTTGCATGAGGGTTATGAAATGTCATACAAATTAAATGGTTGTGGAAACAAAACAAAATGTGGGGCATCACTTGCTTTTTTTGTGTGCAGACTATGTCAATTATGTGACACTTAAAATTACTTTCATATGGCCTTCAACTTCCCCTTTGGTGTGCTCCTTCATTCTAGCAAATTAGCATTGTTAAATACAATAAAACATTTATTAAACATTCACAGTGTTTTAATACAATTATTTCTCTAAGACATGATCCCATTAGAAGTAACAATATTGGCCATAAAATTGCACTAGAGCATAATTTTATTATATTCCTAAATCAATTATGAAAAATAAGTCCTGTCTCTGTAACTTACCTTAATTGTTAAATACTGACCTCCATTGATGGTACCTTTGCCCTACTAAGTGACAAGATTATCTAGTCATACATTTGTGCAGTTTGTAAATGTCTTACTTAAAGCCACAGCTAACACTTAATCAAAATACATGGGGAAATATTTATTTAATGACAAGTAATTTTAAAAAGTCACAGTTTTGAGTAATGTATGATATAAAAATGTGTAAACCCCAAGTGTTAATTGCCTTTCAAAAAAACTGAAGAAAAAGGAAAAAACACCCTAAAATGTTCATATCTCTGTTTTCCCTAATGTTATTATATTGTCCCAAACTAAAGAATGAGTTTAGCCTATGTTTTTTATTGTCGTCACCAGTTTTAATTAGAAAAGACACTGAATAAATTAAGTTCTTTCAGCTAATAAAACTACTTTTAGTATGCAATGGGTATTTAAAAAATCATTTTCTTTGCTTATACCTTGAGTTTCAAACCATAATGTACTTTTTTTAATGCTGGATATATTCACAAATCAAATCTTCTATGAGATATTTTGGGGAAAGGTATTTTTTTTTCTTAAACAAAATCGATAATCAACTTTGACATAACTACTTCCCCACTCTTTTTGGAAATATCCTTAAGAATTTTAGTATTTACATTAATTTTTTCCCCTCAGTCTTGTTTATTCTTGAATTGTCTTTTTTTTCCCTTCCATTTCTCCATTCTCAATCCTAGGTCCCCTTACAAAGAAACAGACAGATGATTTAGGTGATAATGACGGTGCTGAAGATGAAGGTATTTTTTCCACCAAATCTACTTGCATGACAAGGACCTCAATCACTTTTTCCACCCCTTTCTATTTTTTTACTTCTTGTCTTTTTTTGAAGAGTTGTTTTTAATTCTCGTTTTTGATGTGTTTTGTCTTCTTGCTTGTTGTTACATATAAATATACATTTTTAATTTTTTAAAAAAATGAATGTTGTTTTACATTTTGATGCCAATCATTAAAATGTTTTAAAAAGAGAGGCATTTTTTTTGTTTTCTTGAACTGACTTTTGATATGTTTCATCCTACGTTTTGACTGAAATTTGTCCATATTCTTTGAACTAACAATCTCTTCCCCTGTAGTCTCTCTGTACCCACTTTGCATGTTTTCTAATATGTGTAAATATCCTACCCAATATCAAAATGTGTTGCATTTTTACATTTGATATTTGCTTAAAAAGAATCCCGTACCCAAAAAGGACAAAACTAAAAGCTGATATAAAGTGTTTCTTGAGCAATATAGCTTAGATTTTTAAAATACTGTTTTCTGTTGATATGCTGAAATATCACATGAATAAGTAAAATTTTATAGATAATAAAGTAATGACACTTATTTAAATAGCTGTAGTAAACACTGTACAGCAACTCACCTACTTTGGACTCATAATAGTGAGTATTTTTGGTAGAATTTATAGTTTTTTTTTAAGCAAGCTTATGATATTCTTTGATTTCAAAGACATAATTTTTAGATTGGTAAGTGAATATATTCTGATTTTCAAAATATCACCACCTATAAGCAATAAAACATTTCTTACTTTATTAAGATTATTTTCTCTTTCCAGCTTTCTTATAACATAGAACTCTGATTTACTCTGTAAATCTCAGTACATACTATGTTGACTTAACATCTCTCATTCCACTGTGGATTTTTACCTAGTGTTAAGTGGAATGTCTATAAAGGCCCTTTAATTTGTTCAGATTATCTTGGTTCCAATTCAGGTTTATGGGTTTTTTGTTTTTTTAATGCTTCCTTAGCTATGATTCTTACAGAGGTAACTAATGTAACCCTAGAATTTAAAGTAGTTCCCAGAATCTTAAAATTAAATTTCATAAAGATTTTATGGATATGGTAAGAAATGTTTCCCAATATAAAACAGCCCACAAACAGGCCAGCAGAAGTGCTAGTTCCATGAATTACAACTATGACTGAATGAATCCTTACTAAACAATTTTAGTTGTTTTCTTTGAGATACTTATTTAATAAGCTATTCATAGTAGAAAACCAAATTAAAGACGTGAAGTATTGAAAGCATAACATTAAATTGGGTGTTAATATTTAAGAATTATTTTTTCATAAAATTTATGACATGTCATTAAAATTTTATTTACTATGAACTCCAACAGTGAATTCAAGATTAAACCAAAGCAATCATTAATATTTAAAAGAAATCATTATGGCTGACCAGGGGTATCATTTTGAATACTAAATAGCTAAAAATAAACTTACCAAAATGTAAATTGTGATATTTTAAAAATGTTCTTGGAATTTTGAAGAATTTGAACACTCAAGAAATTTATTGACTTTGAGGATATATATTATCTTTTCCAGCTCTCCAAAGACAACAGGTTTTAGTTGGGAACTTTTTAATTTGTTGAACCCTCTAAAAATCCTTAATTCCCAGACATTTGTTATCTACATAATACCTCAGTATAAGGGATTTCTTAGAGTGTAGGTTTGTAAATTCCAATTTTTTTCAAAGCACTCACAAATTTAGTGTACATCATTTTTTATTTTAAAGATACTTTGATTGCTGATTTAATGTACCATATTTTGCCATGTATAATGTGTACCTATGGTTTTGGTCCAAACTTTCAGGAAAAAATATTTTTCATTTTAATTTTTTAATTCAATTTTTATTTATTTATATTTAGATACTTGATTTTGTATTATTAAGTAATTTTTGCATTTATTTTTGAACATATTATGGTACAAGAAATTTTATGTAACAAATAATTTAAAAACACAACAACAGATAGAAGGTACAAAAAATTTTATGTACCAGTAATAAATTTACAATATTTATGGACTGTAGAAGCCCAAGGATTCTTCATCCCTGTTAATATCAGAATGATCATCTTCTTCAGCCCTGGCTGGTGTGGCTCAGTGGATTAAGCACCAGCCTGCAAACCAAAGGGTTGCTGGTTTGATTCCTAATCAGGGCACATACCTGGGTTGTGGGCCAGATCCCCAGTGTGGGGCACCCAAGAGGCATCCACACACTGATGTTCTCTCCCTCTTTTTCTTTCTCCCTTCCCCTCTCTCTAAAAATAAATAAATAAAAAGTCTTTTTTTTTAAAGCATCATCTTCAATTTGCACATTACCAATGTCTCCTGAAGAGTCACTTTCCTCATCCCAATAAATTTCAGTGTCCTCAGTTCCATCCATAGCATTGCTGATGCCACATTTTTAAAACAATTTCACAACCACTACCTTCTTGACTCCATTTCACAGTCTAAGGACCCAATCACAGGCCTGGGCAATGGATGCTTTCTTGATCCTGCCTGTAGGTGTTAAATCATCATCAGCTGACTGTCCGCTCTTTCTTCATTAGGGCCTCAAAGGGTTTGTTGACCGACACATCAAAAGGTTACATTGGCTGGTTAGCACACCCATAAACATAAATAAAAGAAATAAAAGCATTTATGTAGATATGGAATTAGTACTATCCATGTATAATGTTCACTCTTATTTTTCATTCAAAAATTTGGGCAAAAAATTGTACATTATACATGGTAAAATATGGTACTTCTTTTTTCTTTTGGTAAGAAAAATCAAGTAGTACATTTCCATCGTGACCATAATTGAACTAAGCCCTGTAAATGTGAGTATATTTTATAGATTTATTTTGAAACACATTTTATGTTTTTAAATAGTCATTAAATATATCTTAAGCCCTGTTTAAACTGGCAGGTAGTGTTCATGGTAAACACTAAACCAGTCACAAGAGTTACCAAATCAAAAAATTTTTTAAATGCTCAGAGGTGTAGAATGTTGAGGCAGTTAATTCAAGCCTATTCTTCTGTTTTGTTGTTGTTTTGGATAATTGTTTAGAAGACAAAAGAAGGTAAACTGACATATTCTCCTAGATAAAGAGCTTTGTGGACAAACCTAGCACCTTTTATTCAATTCTTTTACAATCATTTTGTAGATGTAGAGTATTAACAAAAGCCAAGGCCAATTTTCTCCTTTATTTTGTTCCAAATCTTGAGTCAATATCATTGGACACATAGGTACCAACAGAAATTATGTGATATATTACTTCTTTTACTTTAGTCAGTCTGGCATTCTCAATTACTTCCTGATAACTTGACCCCTTTGCCTGATTTCCAGGTCCCTATCTCAGCCACCACATTCAGAGGCTACCTAAGACATTGAGTGGGTCTGGCCCCATTCACTTAAAGGAACCCATGGCCTGTCCACTCTCCTCTACTTCTAATCCTTCTTTGCACATTTGCCACCATTCTTTTGCCATCATTCAATGAAACACAGTTGTATCACTTTGATTTGTGTTTTATAATAACCAAAGGAACTGCATATTTTATTGGTTATTTCCGTAATTTCAAAAAGACAAATCTAAAGTGATAAAAATGGGTCAAAGTAACATCTATATTTCTATCAATTTATTTTTGGAATTAAAGAGTATTTACAAAATTTCTAAATTGTATTAGTATCTTAATATTAATATTTTAATATTCAGACAATTTTATATTCTACATAGAGTTTTTTAAAAAGTGATACTGTCATTTTTTAAATCATTTTTAAATTAAAATCTATATCTTTAATTAAGTACCATTGAACAAACATACATCCTACCAACACCTCTATATTATTTTGCAGGTTTGAAATGATAACTGAGGTACATAAAATGAGTAAGGGGCACAAACTTATCCTGCCAAACACTCTAAAACATGGACAATTAAAACTTCATGAGTCCATTAAGTAGAAAGTGACCAATAAATAGGAAGTTGTGTAACAAATAATTATTCATATGGATCATTAAAAGGAATTATGATTCCCAGCACTGGTTGTCAGGCACAAATAAATTCCCATTAACTTCCTCAAGTTCTGTTGATAACTTATCACATTGGCTTAACATTTTGATTTATCAGAATGGTAAAGTAGTTACTGATATTTAAAGTCAAGGTGTTAACTCAAATTCTAGGTTTATTTTTTAATGTGAAAAAATTACTCTTTACCATCAAAAATTTAGTAGAAAAATAATCATCAGTGTAATATTTTCTTCTTAATATCCAACTCTTTTCAGAGACCTAGATGCTAAGCAAAGTTTAAAAAAATGGCAAACAACATTAAGTATAAACATGCTTTAAGAACATTTATAGATTTACTGGACCCGAGCTAGTGTTTTCATCTCTGAGTGTGTTTATTTTTGATTTTAGTTAAGTCATTAAGAGCTGTTTAGGCAAAGTCAGAGTCTTAGGTGAAATTTCCTTATTCATAAGGAAAAATATGAGACAAGGTTTAGAAGAACAAACTGGCTTTAATAAATTATAAATTACTAAATATATCTAGTATATTTGCTAAGACAGTGGCTCCTCAAAAGGTTATTATTAAAAGTATGGCATTAGCAGATAGTATTCAACAGTAGGCTATCTCATTATATCAGTTTCATTTATAAAAATTCTGGTTCTTTTCAAAATTAAACATAGATATACTTTAAACTATTTCTATTTATTATTACAATCAAAAATACTTATAGGCTATAGTGAAAAGTAAAATCTAAGATAGACTTCTCTGATAAAATACTACCAATATAAATCTAAGATAAACCACTATTAGAAAACACTATCAAAGAATTCTAATTGTCTTGTAATAGAAATACAATATTTTCCCCAATTTTATTGCAATAGTAAGTGTTAGGTACAAGAATTTAACCTATGTTGGTAATTAATACTTTGTATGGCATTAATTTTAGGGTTACTTTAAGCAGAAAGAAATATTGTTCAGAACACAACACCAGAATTTTGTCGAACTCTCGGGAAAAGAATTATTTGGTATGTTAAGTTCTTAGGTAAGGCTTAAATCTTTGAAAAGTTTGAAAACACAGCTGGAAATTAAAACCAGCCCAAACTTTCAGTAATATTTTCCAGTTTAATTAAAAAAAAGAGATACCACTCAATATAGCTCTTGGAATCTATTGTCATGTTTTTCATCTTCCGAAGCAATGTCCACCCCTTTCTGTTATTCAGTATAAAATGTGGCAGGTCTTCTCAATGTGTGCTGTATTGTTTTCCAGGTGAACAGAATGGGATCTACCAAGATTTCATTACTGTTCACAGTTGGTATTTTGTAATTCTATGTAATTTTAATTAAAGAAGAATCCTGAAACAGCCACCCTCTGTGCTACCTCCAAGCATACAATTAGCAGAGTACAGTGGCTGCTGTGAACAGTCAGTTAATGATTTCAATTTAATAATTTACTATTGCTTCTTCAGTGCCAGACATAGTAGGAAAATAAGCTAAAACTGTATGTAGCAAATAGGCATTTAAGAAGGATAGTTTAAAATTTTCAAAAAGATTATTTTCTCTATGTAAACCTAATATCTCCATAAGCTCCCCAAATCTTTATAAAAGAGCGAATATCAATTTCCCTCCCAAGGACTTAAGAAGAAAATAGATTAGGTTTTCCTTCTAAATGTAGCTGTGTCTAGTGGATGGTTTCTAAGTCAAAGTTTCCTCTACTTACCACTTAAAAATAAGACATTCTTCTCAAGTGCACACTCTGTGAGGGAGGAAGAATATGGCAAGTTTATACACTGGTATTCAGTCACATTTAAAATAGTCGTTTTAAAAAGTCTCTAAATTCTGCAGTGAGCTAGTGCCCCAACTTGAAATTTTGGACAAACAAGTTGAGCTGCAATTTCTGATCCTAGAATGCTTTTTTCTTTAAAAAAATTTATCTTATTATTACTGTAGAAAAATCAAGACATATACATGTATTTAATATTACAGGAAATGTAAATCAGCTTGTAAATAATCACTAGTTTTTCAATGAGTTTGTTTTGTATTAGTCCATTTTGAAAGCTGAAACCTCAATTATAAATATGTAGGAGATTTAAGTTTGATCAATGACAAAAACAAAAGAACAAAACCATACTTTTAAATAACACTTTAATATTAGAATTTGAAAAGAGGATAATGCATTTGATGAAATTTTTGTTTCAATTAAAGGTAGAATAGATCATGTGCTATTATATAATGATAACATTTTATGTATATATATTCATAATCACATATAAATATATAAGGTTTCAATCTACATAATAGTTAAAACCATATTGGCCAATATACAGTTTAACATTTTTCTATAGAAATTAGTGTATTTTTCATACCAGTTAAATAAGTTTATATTTTTCTTTAATGGTAAAGGGCAAAAGTAGGCTTATAGTTGTTTACATGGAAAATAATAACAATAATTTATAATAATATATGAGTAAACTGTTTAACATATTCTCAGCCTGTAAATCTACTTTGCTCCTACCCCCCATATATTATTTCTGGATCTTGTTGATCTAGATTTGGTGGAAATTATCTTAGAAAAAAAACTACATTTAATTAAAGTTCAGAGCTGCAAAAATCACTTCAACATCACTCTAAATATTGGCACTTTATACTTAAATAAAGCTGTACCCTGTCTCATGTCTGTAAGACAAAATCATAGAGTCAAAGTAGGGCTAAGGAGAGTATAATAGCTACACCAAGAGTTGAAAAATATAATTTAGTCTGTTTTCTTTTTCCAAAGGATATGTATAGGTATAATGAGCAGATGACTTGGACTTAATTAAAATACATTATTTAAATGATAGTCCCCTAAATACACTAAATGCAGCGACAACAGAAGTACAGATGTATATGACTTTACTGCCTAAACATTCATCTGACAGTTAGTACCTGAGTAGCAAAGTTAAACTTTTTTCAATGTATAATACAGTGTTGTAATTATGTTCACAAATTGGAGCATAAATTATTAAATGTAATTATTATGCATTCAATATAAATCTTTACAGTTATTAATAAACGCAAACTGTTTTATTCACAATAGCAGTGATACCTTTGGCCTTAGTTTATGATTAATAAATTTCATGAGATCTATACCATTTTTAAAAAGTAGTTCTAAAAATTATATTATCTCTTTTGGTTCTACTGTCACATTAGAAAATAATTTAAAAACACTAAAATTCACAACTACTTTCAATTTGTTCAAGTTTTGTAATTCAACTTATAACTTTAAACAACATTGTAGGTAGAAAAAATGGTATCGCTCTTTTCTGCAATGGCTCTTAATGAGTTGCTTAAGAAACACTTTAACAAAAACAGCAATTTCAAGAACTATATAAAAATCATGCCCTCTTATCCCTGAAATGGAAAGTGTATTCTCTGATTTATTATGTTTGTTTCTTTGAGGATAAGAGCAATTGCCAACCATTTGTTTTTCAGATATTCGGGACAGTGGGGGTCCCAAACCAGTGATGGTGTATATCCACGGTGGCTCATATATGGAAGGTACTGGAAATTTATATGACGGGAGTGTCTTGGCAAGTTATGGCAATGTGATTGTCATCACAGTCAACTATCGACTTGGAGTACTTGGTAAGAAGTCCCTTTTTTTTTCACCATTAATTCATGAAGTATGTAATGATAGTTTTGTTTTCACTTTTGCTTTACACTGTTTCACTCATCGTTCTATGGTTATTGACTTTGTTTAATCCAAAATTTCTGATATTTTTAATAAATTCTAGAAATGATAATAAATTACAAGATGAAAGACAGCTAGGCTTGATTTTAAGATTTAAAAGTAAATGGTAGTTAATAGTCACCTTGTTGAGGAATGTTCTTGGCTTTGTAGGTTTGGCTTGATAAAACTGTGTACGGTAAAAATGGCAGGGCATTTCGGAAGAAGATTTAGTCTCTGAACAAAGTTTTTCTTTTTCTATTTTTCCTTTATACAATGCAATGAAGTTTCCAGAGGTTTCCATGAGTTTAGAATCAAGTTTTTATTCTCTTCAAGAATATATGTATGGATTGCCTTTGTGACATAATTATTTGCCAATAAGGTGTAGGTGTTTTTTTTTTAATTTTTCAGATAATAATTTCAAATACTTTGAATGTATTTTGATTGAATTATTTTACTTGGAAAGCAAACTTTGATTTTATGAAGTGACAATGTGTTCAATTCATTAGTTGTGTATACATAAAGTGAAATCAAACTGGAGATTCTTGGTTTGAAGATATCTGTAGAGAAGTACTATTTGTAAAGTAACTTATTATTACTCTGAAACAGACATATTGTTTTATAAAGTAATGAATTTTTAAAAGATAAACTTGCTGTGCTAATTGTACAAATTTATTTTTTTAGTATTGTCAAAATTTAGGCAATACAATTACTATATAATTTAGTAAAACACCTATATATATAGTATTGTAGTTACTATTTGCTGAAAGAGTACAAGTCATCAAAAATATTTCATTTTTTAAATCTTTGTTCTCAAAGTCTTAGTCTATACTATACACTTAAATGGGTATATTTTATGTTATTTGGGCACAAAGAAGCACCTTCTTTTCTCATTATTTATTCTACAATATTTTGAAAAAGGAATTTTAATTATAATCTCTTTTATAATAATTGTTAATATTATATATTTAGCCATTGGGAAATCAATTTGTTTTTATCTTTAGTGTTAGTTATCACATTCTAATTCCTATGTAATTATTATCCTATATTTATGCTAATCTAAAAATATAAAAAGAATAGTTTTTGTCAATCATTTGTATGTTTGGGGCAATGAGATATTTTAGCAAAGCAAAGTTGAAATCTTGCTCCTTTCTAGTTTACTATTTTAAACTTGGAATATCATGAACGATATAATAGGTACATTGTATCAATGTATGTATGAAATATTTTTGTAGCTCTGGTCAAGTACACATTATTCTCGCCATAGGGTCTAATCATGCATTGCTTAAGATGTTCTTATAATTTCCATGCACAGGGTTATATGTCTTCCTACCTCTGAAAACTCTCTATATTAGAAGATTTATAAAGATGGTCATAATAATTCTTAAATACTTTTTGTTGTCATTTGTTTTTATGGAACCTTTTAACATGAGGATCTTCAATAACTTTAATGCATTTAATTTTAATTATAGTACTACTAATACCTCAGTTTTTTTATTGTTCTTATATTTTCCTGAATTTCTCATGTTTTCTCCTGGTGCAGTGATCAGTTTGCTGATAGAAAATTTGTAGTTATATTCTAAAGTGTAGCAACAGTGTTGTTAAGGACTTGAGCAGCCACTTATTCTTGCACATGTGCGCTTATAAAAATGTTTAAAAACTCTTTTATCCACACCTTATGTTGTCGTGTTAGGTTACTGAGTGTAATCGCATAAAAGTAAGATTCCCATAAAATGAACTATGTTGTTAAGTTAACATAAGCTTTACTGGTTTTTATTTTTATGTGTTCAGAACTGATGGAGACCTGATTTTGATCCGATTGAATTCTGTATGCATGCCCATATCCTGTCTTTAAATGCGGCACTCTGAATGATTGTGTTGCAGGACAGCAGCTTAACCAGCTAAAAAATGAAGAATTCAGTCTTCTGTTTGGTCTGTAAAATGGCAAACAATGTTGTTGATGATGGATGATTTTCCCAGTGCTAAATATTTGTTCTTGCCCTGCTGCCATTTAGGGTTTAACTACAGTTGGCTCCTTTGTTCCTCTTAAACACACCATGCACACTGATAATCCTCCCCAAGAATTGTCCTTTACATACTTCCTCTCAACTTGAAAAAGGAGAAAACTCTTAGTAACCAGTTTTAAGTGCATCTGGTCACTTTCTTCTCGAATATGTGTTGGGCCCTGTGAAATGTATTTAAATTAACTGAATCATGAAAAGTAAACTTTTCAGAACATTTGTTTCAGCACAATTTGCATGTGTGGTACGCCACAAGCAGATCAACAGCTCATCTGACAGAACTGCAATAAAGACTTAGGGTTTTTGTTGTCGTCATTAATATTTGTCTAACAGTAACAAGGTAAGCCAAGGTTTCTAGGATCCAAAGGTGTTGCTGTTTAGTTTGTACTTGGGAGAATGTTGGAAATCAAGTAAAAGATAATAGTTGTTCTCACATCAGAGGAATACCTGTGCTGTATTTGATTTTGATGTTTTGGTGTGAAAATAATGCATTTTGGGGTCCAATGTACTAATAGGCTAACTATGACACTACTGCTCACAGAAAACTGACAGAAAAAATCAGGATGTCTGAAACAGGCAGTGTAATTGGTATGGATTTGGATTTGCGTTCCAAGAGGGGAAATATTACACGTTTTTTTGCTATTGTTTTGGTGATAAGTAAAAATGTGATAATGCTTCCATTGGAAAATTCATACAGCTACATAGCAACCAGGTTTCTAGTTTCAAGTGTTTTGTGTTAAGAAAAATGTATTACAAAGTAGAAATAGCTTAAAAATAAAATATCTCCTAGGACAGCATTGCTCTGAAGAAGCTGGGAACAGGTTGGAGTCAGTTCCTCAACCAAAATCCTTTTGGGGTTTCGTTTAGAGTAGTAGCATAGACTCTCACTGCTATTGCAGGGGAAACATATTGTCAGCGATAAGAAAGACTGCTAATAAGGTTAAGAAAAAAGTCAAGAGGCTACAGGGCTCTGCCTGCTAATCACACTTTCTCAGTTGTCTTAGAACTCTGTAGCCTTCTCTCATTCAGTCTTACATGTCTAGGGGACATTTATCCTTTCATGTTTGATTATATGTATTATTTGACGTTGGCCAGTATTAACTCTTCATCCTCTATTATGTTTTACATCGTTACATAGTGCTTTTAAAATATATTCAAAATAATTATTAATGATTATTTTTACTACTCTATTATATAATTAACAGAAATTATCATATTGAAAAGTTAGGGAGAAATGTTTTGATTTTGTGTTCTTAAAAGAGGAAAATAATAAATGTTAGGATTATAAATGGGATAAACATATATACTTGTAGACTAGAATTGGGAGAGAATGTGAAATAGCTTGTTCACTTTAGAATGACATATTGTGTAATAAACATTTTTTAAAATAGAAACAATCCAAATGATACATTTGTAAATCTCAAAAATGAAAAAAATACATTAACAAATTTAGTGTTAAAATGTGTTTCAAGCACTTCTCTTAACTTAGAATAAATTTGTTATTTTTAGAGAAAAAGGAAAATTTATACCATTGTTGGGATCTAATTTAGGTAACATAAGATTCTTATATAATAGAAATTTAATGCTACTTTTATCTTGATATAAAAATTTTAGAGGCAATTATGTGTTCATATTTCAAGCATAAGTAATTTATTTTAGAAAAAATGTTTTAAAGATTCCAGAAGTATTACTAATAACTATTTGAAAATTTGACAAACTTTTAGAGTTCAATTAAATGTTTTACTTAACACTCTAATGTACTATACACCTATGGAAAAAATAATTTTAAATGCCAGCTCCTTTACTTGTATTTGAATAATATTTAGTTTACTTTATAATGCCATTTAGGACTAAATCATTTAAAACAAGTTTTTGTTAACTTTACTGCTTATTAATTTCAGTGAACACCTAAATTTATTTTTATTAGAAAAAGTTAATTAGATTTGTTGACCCTTTTAATGGTATTGTCTATCCCATAATAATCCTTCAAGTATTACCAGGCAGATGAGAGAAATAACTGTAACTTTGGTGGTCAGTCATCATATACGTGACTCTTGTTTCCAGCAGTATCTCCCAGGAAGGACAAAAAGTAAGAATAATATAATCCTTATCTTTAGAGATTTTTCCATCAAATTGAAGGAAATGTAAACATTCAATAGAGAATGATAATTCATATTCTACTTCGTATTTTATAACATTTATTTATTTGTGTGTATAGAGTCATGATATATAAAAAGGAAATCAAAATAACAAAAATGGAAGCATAGAATATCAATTGGATTAATATAGATGAGGGTTTGAAATCTATTTGAATCTGAGCAGCCTAGCAGCATGGAGATTACTAAGTCTAGGGAGGGTTCATTCCTTGAAGGAAAAGCATATTAAGTCCTAAAATGGAACAATGTTTTGTCATTATTATTCTTAAGTTTTTTGCATTGTTTTTGTTTTGTCTGGCTCCACATCCTAAAACAAATAAATGAATTTAAAAAAACTCAATGTTACCTGATGTTTGAGAATAATATATCATCAAATTTTATAAGATGATTCAAATGTGTCCTTGGAATGTAAGAGAGGGAGTAAGTTCGTACTTGAAGAGTCAAAAATGACTCCATAGAAATGGTTCTATTTGAAAAAGACCAAGAAGAATGGATTATCTCCAGTACTGAAAAAAGGGAAGAGAGAACTTTTTTTTCATTTATTCATGCTCTTTGTATTTCAAAACAGTGGAGATAATTTGTGACAAAAACATACATACGGGTTGCTAAAATCATATTAGATAGTAATACATATATTGTAAAGAAAAGATATAGAAAATTACACAATTAATATCTACTGGAATTAAACAGAAATGTACAATCAAATTTCCTAGAAGCATGGTCAAAAGGATAATGTATTGA